CTGCTGGCAACAGCCCGGAATGAGCTCCTGAGGGCTGGGTGTGCCTGAGGAGCCAGCCAAGGCAGGCGCCCACTGGACACCCTCCAACCTGGGCGGCGGCTGCTCCTAGACAGGAGCTCTGCAATTCTTGGAATGCACGGGGAAGGCCTGCAGGCCGCCACCACACCTGGCTCCAGGGCCCCTCCAGAGCAGGAGGCCTTCCTGCCCTCCCCCAAGCTGGGCTCTGGGTCTCCCCGTGCATTCCTGGACCCGAGCACTGGTGCCTTTGCTGGCACCACCTGAGGGTGAGGGTGGAGGGCACAGGCGGGGCTGACTCATCTGCGTCGGGAGCTGGTGAGCTGGCGCCTAGCTGCAGAGGCGCTGGTCAGTGGGTGTGTTTGTAGATCCAGGGGATGGAAGAATGTGGGGAGGGTGGTGGGGAGTGAGCTTTGACCTGCAGCCCCCTCCCCTGCCCACCAGCCTGGGGGAAAGGCAGAGTCCTGAGCCTCACCCAGAGGCTGGAGCCAGAGGCTGCATGTGGGCCAGGGGTCCACCTTTCCTGGCACTTCTGCAGCTGCACAGATGTGAGGACTCCTGCCCCGATGAGGGAATGGAGGGCCCAGCACCCCCAGGGCCGCTTCTGCCTGAGGCTGTCTCCCTTGTGCCCAGTCATGCTTCTGAGCTGCCACCTGGTCCAGAGAGGCCAGCTCAGGCCAGAGCAGGGTGAAGAAGGTGGGGTGAATGTGAGTTAGTCAGAGGGAGGCTGGAAAAGTCCTTGGGGTCGGGAGGGACTGCAGAGGAGCGCTTTGGCCCTGGTTAAGGGTGTGTGTGTGTAGCAGAGGCTGAGATCAGAGGTCTGGGATCGTGGATGTGTGAACACTGAGAAGGGGCTTTCCCTCAGGCTTGAACCCACCATGCCCGGGGCAGCAGTGTTCAACCCGCCTTGACCACTGATTTTCTGAGACATACAGAGGTCCCCTCCTGTTTTCCTTCAGCAGCTCACCACCAACCCTCTGCATCTCCAGCGCCCCCAGACTTCATCCCGGCCCTATTCTGAGCTTGCTCCCTGGGCCTGGGGTCGAAGGGAGGACCAATTTGGCCTCAGAATCACACCACCTGCGGCCACTACCAGCAGCTTCTGGAGCTGCTTCCTGGAAGCCATGGCCTGTCTGGAAGCGCCCCTCCTGGGCATGGGCCCTTCCTCGGAGCTGGGTACACACGTGCTCACCCACAGCTGTGGGCGCCCAGATGCCTGAGAACAGGAACGTGCAGGTACAGGCTGGCACTGTCACACACCCAGGCGGAGGCACACGTGCCTGGCCACAGGAACGGGGAGTGCCAGGGTGGCCTTGCACTGCGGGCCTACAGAGAGCTTGCCTCTACCTCTCGCTGGGAGATTGGGATGAGGGGGAGAGCAGGCCTTGGCACCGCCGACTTGACTTCTGCTAGGAACAGGCAGGCAGTGTGGGCGTTCCTGTGAGAAATCCTCCCAGCCTGATGTTGACGCCATGCAGTCAGGACATGTGGCAGGTGGCCACTTGCAGGCCCAGAAGTGGCCTGGGGTCCACCTGAGCAGCAGTTTGGCCATGGGTTCATTTCCTTTGTCAATTCAGCACCCGGAATGCTTTTTATCATCTTTTAATTTTGAGATTTTTTTTGCATCCTACTGGGGTGCCCTGAGATGATCTCTGACCTTGTTACAGAACGAAAGAAGTGAAAACGCCCCCACTCACCCATGCCCACCCACCTGTGTACCCATTCACCCATCCATCCCCACACACCTACACTTCATCTGTCCACCCACCCACCCACCCTCATCCATCCATCTGCCCATCCGTTCATCCATCCACCCAACCTCCCATCACCCACTCATCCACTCATCCACCCAGCTACCCATCCATCCACCCACCCACCCACCCTCATCCATCCGCCAATCCATTCATCCATCTACCCACCCCCTCATCCATTCACCCATCCATTCACCCATCCTCCCATCCATCCACTCATCCAACCACCCACCACCCACCTACCCACTGACCCACCCATCATCCACTTATTCACCCATCCACCCAGCTACCCACCCATCCACCCACCCTCGTCCATCCATCTGTCCATCCATTCATTCATTCACTCACTCACCCATCGTCCATTCATCCACCTACCCACCAACCCACCCATCACCCACTCATCCATCCACCCACCCAGCTACCCACCCATTCATCCACCCAGCCACCCGTCCAGCTGTGGCACCTTGGGCAGCTGTTCCGCCCTGTGCTTGCTGACAAGGACATGACCCCACTCCCCAGTCACCTCCAGACAGGTCCTTCCTCCCACATCCCTGCCCCTCCCTCAGCTCTTTGCTCTGTAGCTGGCAGCTTTGCCGCTGGGGCCTCAGAAGCCCCTGGTGATGCCTCTCAACATCTTGCAAACTTCTGGTGCATTTCTCACTTCAAACTCCGAGAGCACCTGAGTCAGCCTGTCTGTGTCTGGCTGCAGGAGGTAGACATTGGTCAGGGCTTATCCCTGCTCTGGGGAGGGGGAGGCAGGCGCTGGGACCAGGCTGCTGCTTTTAGACGGGACAGTGGGTGGGCGCTCAGTCAGGGGCTTGCAGCAGGCAGGGAGCTCTGTCCTCTTCATTTGAATATGGCACACACATACAGTAGAATCTCGTTATTTTAGGTTCTGTACTTGCAAATTTGTCTACTCACTGAAATTGATTTGTAAACCTAAAACCAGTGCTTGCTTAGGAACGGTCTGGATCTCTTGAAAATGAAATACAATAAGGTCAATACTTGCTGCTGAGGCGACGTGTCCTATGGAGAAAACCCGTGTGTTGGAAAGGCTTTTACAGGCATGAGTAGTTGTGCTCTTGGCCGGGAGTTCAGTGACGTATATTAACAGAAACACATAAATAAGTCCATTGTGTACCGATTGATAGATGAAAAGCCTGGACCGGAGGCTCGTAGGAACCTGGCCCTCTATTTCCCCTGGGAGCAGAGGAGGTTCGGCATTCGCTGAGTCAGTGTTTGCGGCCACATCACGGAGCGCAGGACGAACCGTCACAGAGAGAGCTGCTGCGTGGCCTGCGTGGGGCGCCCGGAGCTTCGGCCTGCGACACGCTGAGTTTTCACATTCATAGAAACTCGCGTAACTACTACCACCCACAGCAAACTATGGAACACTTCCAGGGCCCAGAAAGTTCCACTGCATAGCCCCCTCCGTGGGCACCCCCCAAAGCTAACTGCTGTTCTCCTCTCTGCCACCAGAGATCCGTCATTCTGGGATTGCATGAACTGTCAGCCTTGTGCCTGGCTTCTTTTGCTCCATAGTCTCTGAGATTCATCCACACGGTGGTGTGCGTCGGTTGCTCATGTTTCTTGATTTCTGTGAAATATTCAGTTGCACAAACCTATCTGCTGAAAGCTGAGGTGCAGAGGCAGGGTGCTGGCAGAGATGTGGGCCTCCTTCGGGCACCTTGCTGAGCAGGCCGAGCCAGTGGCGTCTGCAGACCCCTGCAGCCAGTGCTGGCCCTGGGGAGACGCAGCCCGCCTTCCTGCTGACCTCCGGTGAACCATTGAGCTGTCCCTCCCCTCCCCAGCCTCCTTCTCAGTTGTCCGGCGGGAGTCCAGATGGGACGGGTGCTGTTCCCCATGGTGGCACGCAAGTTCCTCACATGATGGGGAGAGCCCCTTAGCTTTGAACTGTCTTATGTTGGGGGTCCGTGCCATCTTTTGCTTCAAGAAGGGGCTCTGAAGCTGATGAGGTGAGGAGACACTGGGCCTTGCAACCCCGATGCTGGGAACTTGAGGGGCTGGAGGGAGCCCCAGATGGGTTCCCTGGAGGTCCTCCTTTGAGAGGAGACGTGCCTGAGACCCATCCACACCCCAGCCCAGGGTCTGCGTGAGTGTAGCTGTGTTCTGACTCGCCCTGCCCTTGGCCTTGAACCCTGCAGACTCAGCAAAGGCAGGGCGGGGCGTCAGAGAAGGGGAGAGTGGGAGAGGGCTTAGGGCAGGGCCTGTAGGCTGCTGAACTGGACCCTGCCTGATGATCTCAGAGGGAAGGAAATAAAGCCTGGAATGCTTTGCAGGTGGTTTTTAGCCACTGAACTGTTTTGAAGAGGCCAGTAGGTCTCCGGAGATCATTGTGTGTGTGTCCGGGGGGGTGGGTTTCAGACGTATTTATGAATGGAATGGTGACTGGAATGAGGACACCGCTGTGGGCTGTGACTGTCTGCCCTCCCCGGCGGGCCTGCCCCTCCCCCTTCACTCTCCCCTCCCCCTTCACTCTCCCCTCTCTCCCTGAACGCCTCCCTCCCTCCCTCCCTGCCCCACAGCTCTGGGGCCTTCAGGGTCACTGTTGCCAGCCTTCTGCCCTGACACGCCTGGTGGGGACCCAGGCACTCAGGGAAGCCAGGCTCCTGGAGTGGATGGTGGGAGGCAGGGAGTGGCAGCCCCAGGCTGGGGCATGCAGGAGGACGAGTGCTTGGGATTTTTCCGGATGGGTCACCAAGAGGACACCGAGGGGTCACCACACAAACCAGTTGGTGCTGCCTCCCCAGGGCTCCTCCTCCCCTCCACCTCTCCCCTCCCCCATGGCAGCCACCCGCAGACCCCTCCCCCAGGTCTCTGTGTCTTTGAGGACCTACGTTGCTCTTGGGTTTTCAACATTAATACTCAGTTTATTAAAGTAGCACATTTAAAATCTCATTTTTGCCAGGCACGGTGGCTCACGCCTGTAATCCCAGCACTTTGGGAGGCCAAGGAGGGTGGACCGCTTGAGCCCAGGAGTTCAAGACCAGCCTGGCCAACATGGGGGAACCCAGTCTGTACCAGAAATATGAAAATTAACCAGGCTTCGTGGTGTGTGTCTGTAATCCCAGCTACTTGGGAGGCTGAGGTGGGAGGATCACTTGAATCTGGGAGGCTGGGGCTGCAGTGAGCCGAGATCATGTTACCGCACTCCAGCCTGGGCCACAGAGCAAGAGCCTGTCTCAAAAAATAAAGTAAAAAAATAAAATAAAATTACGTTTTTCCCCCCAGATGTTTGGGTTTATTTTACCAATTGTATTAATTTGGTAAATTCTACCAATCCTTTTCAAGGTGCTTCTCCCACATTTTAAAGGCATTTATGAATGAATGAAGTATCTCCCACTGTCCTTGCCAGCAATTCAGACGCACAAGCCTTCACAAGCAGCGACTCCACGGCACAAACCTTTCCATAGACTGATTCTCGAGTTCTTCAAAAATCCCAATGTTGTCTGCAAAGGCAGCTCAATCACTTCCTTTCCTTTCCCCTAAAGTCACAGCTCTGAGTCAGCCACACGTGGACGGATCTGTAACAGCAATGATAACCACGGAAGCACGTTCCACAGACGTCCAGGTGCCAGCTGCAAGTGTGGGCGCTCAGCACGTGGGGTCTCCTTCCACCCTCCCTGCCATGTGAGGTGGGCACCAGGGCCTCCACTCTACAGGGCACGCTGAGGCCCAGGGAAGGGCATCGCCCTCCAGCCCCGCCCTGAGTGCCATCTGACCGTGTGACGCTGGGCTGCCCCAGGCACACCCAACACTGTGAAGGCTCCAGTCACTAGCGCAGACCCAGCACACAGACACCCTTCAGTTTAACCCAGACGCGATAGTCCTAGGGCTGGCTGACTTACTTCCCTCCTAGAGGCTGGGCTCGCCCAGGATGGAGGTGAGGGTTTTAGGAGTTGCCACTGCTGCGGTGACCCTTCCCCTAGGTGAGGGCTTGGTTTCACAGTGAGCACTCCTGACTTAAGGTAGTAATTCCCCAGTTCTTTTTTTTTTTTTTTTTTTTTGAGACAGAGTCTCACTCTGTCACCCAGGCTGGAGTGCAGTGGCGTGATCTCAGCTCACTGCAACCTCCACCTCCCAGGTTCAAGTGATTCTCCTGCCTCAACCTCCTGAGTAGCTGGGACTACAGGCTCATGCTACCATGCCCAGCTAATTTTTTGTATTTTTAGTAGAGATGGGGTTTCACTGTGTTAGCCAGGACGGTCTCCATCTCCTGACCTCAGGTGATCTGCCCGGCTCGGCCTCCCAAAGTGCTGGGATTACAGGCATGAGCCACTGCACTCTGCCTTTTTTTTTTTTTGAGTCAGAATTTCTATCTTATTGCCCAGGCTGGAGTGCAATGGTATGATCTCGGCTCACCGCAACCTCCGCCTCCCGGGTTTAAGAGATTCTCCTGCCTCGGTCTCCTGAGTAGCTGGGATTACAGACATGCGCCGATACACCTGCTAATTTTTTGTATTTTTAGTAGAGACGGGGTTTCTACATGTTGATCAGGCTGGTCTGGAACTCCTGACCTCAGGTGATCCACCCATCTAGGCCTCCCAAAGTGCTGGGATTACAGGCGTGGACCACCACGCCCGGTCCCCAGTTCTTACAGAACCTCCCAGTTTCACCGCTAGCTTGGAAATAGATCAGACTCTTTCTTCTCGTCCACGTCACTTCCCACCTTGATGGGACCTGCTGTCAGGTGATGCTGGATTCTGGCTGTGTCCTCCCCGCACTGGCCTGCAGGCAGCCACCTGCTCGTCGGGGGCCCCTCATCTGCCAGTTTCAGCTTTGCTTAGCCCCAGCTGCCATGCTTTTTTCATGGAAAGGAATCCATTTGCTCCTGAGCTCTTCCAGATGACAAGTGACAGATTCCAGAGGGGAGACAGTGCTTCCCTCCTGAAGGCCCTCAGCAGGGCTCTGACCCAGCCCTAGGCCCTCCCTGTCCCTCCCCACACTGCGACCTCCTTCCTGCATCTTCCTGAGTGCCCAGCACAGCGTTCCCTTTCTCCTGTAGAATAGCAGGGAGACGTACGTGTTAAAAATAACCAAGAACCCCAAACCCTATCTGACTCCACATACACTGGCTGTGTCAATTCCCCACCAGGAAACGGGGTCTTTCCCATGCCACTGCACAGGCTGCTGGCTCCTCTGGGACCCAGGGAACTCCTCCAGCCCCTCCTTCCCTCCCTGGAGACTCCGGCCCCTCCCACTTCCGGCCTTGGGAGAGTGACTGCTCCCTTCCTTCCACAGAGCCTCAGCCTGGAATCTTCTCTTGCAAGCATCCGTTTTCCGGCCTGGCTCCCTGCCTGGCTCCCCAGTTAGACTTTGAGTTCCAGGCCCGGTGTGGCCAGGGGTCAGCCATGCTGAGCAACCAGTGGGGTGTCGTGGGCTCCAGCCCCGATCCTCACCTGTCCTGCCTGCCCTGGCTCTCCAGGGGTGCCTTAGAGTGAACCCCAGGCTGTCCCGCTCCGCCCGCATGCTGCCCTCGGGTTCCTCGCACTCTGATGCTTGTGGCCACCCCTCTACCTTCTCGGCTACCCCAGCTTGGCCTTGTAGTTCCTGACCTCTTACCTTGGCCATATTTTCAAAATAAAGTAGAAATCCTGTCCTAATTTCATGAGACATGGAGTTTGCTGAGGGGGGGCGCTGGTGCCCGTGTGCCTTCTGCATCAGGAGTCCTGGACGCTGCCCCCAGCCCTGAGAGCCAGATGTGTCCAATGTCCCCAGGGTGAGGGCCAAGCCTGTGGGTGGCTTCCTGTGGGTGGCGTCCAGGAGAATGTTCTGTGTTCCTCTTCTCACCTTTCACCTGCAGTGCTCTGGTGGGTGAGCACGGGGCATTGGTGGGCCCCTGCCACAGTGGGGTGCAGGGAGGGCTCTGACCCGCTCCTGCTTGTTGGGGTCCTTGCCCCTCGCCCGCCCTGTTTCTTCCTGCATGTGCCAGTGTGTGGATCCTTCACAGCCTGGTGCCACCCCCCAGATGGCAGTGCGAGAGGTCGGTCTCTCTTCTAGGGCCTGGCTCGGGGAGGAGCCGGTGTTGCTTGCTGGGAGAGTGAGTCAGCTGGTAGCTGTGTTTCCTTGGCCTGGCAGAGTTTCTGTTTAGGCGGCACAGGGCGCTCCACAGCCTGAGTGAGCCCCTCTGGCCGAGACACCGCCTCGCTGCCCACTGCGCCCCATCAGTTCTGGTTTCTCTTCCCTGGGCTGGTGTTAGTTCAGCCGTACCTACCCTGATGGCAGGCCTCCTCTGAGTGCATGCGTGTGCATGTGTGCGTGCGTTTTCCCTGGGAAGTGGCTCTGGGCTCCAGTCCCCTGAGCGCTGCTGAGCCTGGTTCAGTTCCAGCCAGGGGTCCTGCTGGCCCAGCTTGCAGAGGCTGGGCCTTCCTGGGCTTTCTTGTACCAGCAGAGGGTTGGCTGCGCCTTCCTCCAACGCTGCTGACTCAAGGCCTGAGTCATTGCCAACCTCCCTGTGGTGGTGGCTGGGCACTGCGGGTGCACAGGCCCTGGTGGGTGGGAGCTGTCGGACCACCGCTCAGCACCGCCCTGGCCCGTGCAGCAGGGAGCCCTGCGTGGGCTGCATTCCAGAGCACAGTCCTGGCCTGGCCTGCCTGGAGGGACTCTCGAGGGGCAGGAGTGGCCCTGTGGACGGTGCATTCCCGTGGTACAGCGGGAAGGTGCTGTGGCCGGGTTGGTCTGGGTCCTGGCTGTGCTGCTTGCACTGCCTGCTGAGGTGGGGGTGGTGACAGTCCTGCCTCCTAGGGCTGCTGGGTGGGGAGGCGTGTGTGAAGCCCCCGAGCCGGGCCCAGCTACCGTCAGTAACAATGGCCCAGATGCCAAGGCATGGGTGGGAGTTCGCAGCCTGGTCAATGGCCCCAGGGTGGGAGCCGCTTCAGCTGCGTGCGGGGAAGAAGGAGGGCGGGTTTGTTCCAGGGAAGCCTCCTCTGCAGGCACCGAGGTGGGAGCGGCGAGGGGCAGAAGAAGGAGGGCGGGCTTGTTCCACAAGCGAGGAAAGGTGACAGAGGCTTTGAGCGCAGCTCAGGGACCCTGACTTATGGGATTGGATTGGAGGGTCCCCTTGGCGAGGGGCAGAGGTTGGCAGGGCGGAGGGGGCAAGTTGGGGCAGAGCCGGTGGGAGCTGGTGAATGGTAAGGAGTTGTGTGAGTGTGAGCCTGAGAGACTGCGTGTTTGGGCAGAGGCCAGGGAGTCAGCGTTTGTTCTTTGCAGAGGGCAGCGATGCCCATGCCCAGGAAGGCCTCGGGCGCCCAGCCGTGGGGCAGCCAGGCTGGCTGAGAATGAGGTAATTTACAAAGGACTGGGGACCCTCAGGGGCCCATCTTGACCCTGTGTTGCCTTCCTCTGGGTCTTCAGTCCTCTGTTGGCCCAAGACCCCCTAGAGAAGAGCCAGGACATCTGGGGTCTCTCGGGAGCAGCCCGGTCCCCTGAAGTCCTTTTCGAGGCCTGGATTTGACAATGCAGGAAGCACAAAGCTGTGCTGGCCCCGGGACCCTGGGAGCCCTGTTTGCCTCTGTCCCTGTCGGGGGCAGCCCAGCTGGCTGGTTTGTCCCCATCCATGTGCTGCGGGCCGGGCGCCCTGCCCCAGTGCTGGGTCTGATGAACACCTAGGGATGGAAGCTGGGCTGGGCCCACCCCTCAGCCACTAGGCCTGGCAGTGCTCACCCTGCTTAAGGATGGGCAGACTCAGGGCCGGGGCTAGCTTGGGCCACAGAGTGGCTGCTGCGGCTGGGGCTGGAGCCCATGGCTGTGCCTCCCCGACCTGGCTCCACCCAGCTCTTGGCATTTCTGTCCCCAGGAGAAGATGAACACCTGCATCCCCTTCCCTCTCCCAGGGCCCCCAGCCCTCCCAGTAGTCTGGTTGGGGAATCTTGTTATTCTCAACCTACAGATGCAGAAACTGAGGCTGCAGGAGGGGAGCAGCTGGCAGCCAGGAGATGGGGAAGGAGCCCAGTGGCAAGGCAGGAGTCCACCCAGCTGGGAGGGCAAGGCCTCTGCGCAGAGCTGTCAGGAGTCCTGAGGGGGAGTAGAGGGGTCACTGCCAGCAAATGGAGGGTGGGCTGGGGCCGGGACCCACCTGGACCTGTGATTACTGGTGTCCCTGGCCAGGTCGCCCACAGGGCTCCCGGCAGGAGGCCTCTCGCCTGGGCTGGCCCGTCCTGGTCCTGGGAACACACTCAGGCCCCACAGGAGGGGCTTCCTCGGTCAGGATGGGAGTCTTCGGCTGCAGTCCAGGGTCTCTGACTGTTGTATTTTACCGGAGCGTAGAAAGTTATCACCAAGATAAAAGTATGCCAGATTGCAGGGTCATTTATTATGCCGGCGACCACAGAGGACTCACGTCTCTCCAACCTGTGGTGCCAAAAGGAGGGTGCCACGATTTTTTTATACCTGAAAAACCACCTTGGGAGTGGGGGTGAGGGGCGGGGATGGGGATGAAAAGGTTTCGGACATTCCAAGGGCTAGGGGATTCTGTGATTCACCTCCTGGGTGGAGACAAGGGCGGGGGTCTCCGGACATTCCAAGGGCCAGGGGACTTTTGTCATTCTGTTTGTTACTTCAGTGGTTTACAGAAGTCAAGATATACATTTGTTTACACGTCTGGGTGGTGAGAGAAGTCACAGATTTTAGCAGTTACTGATAAGAAAAGGTAAGCAGCTTTACATAGTTTTGCAGAACAAACTAGCAGTTCTATTTACAGCGGCCAAGGACAGTAGTTACTGTGAGGAGAATGGGGCAGCCATTGCAACTTATTTAAAAAACAGTTTTGCATTTTATAAAATAGTTTTGCTCTGGTTCTGGCTCTAGGCCAGCACAATATCACATGACCACCCCCGTTCTGCCACTGTAGTGAAGGGACTTGGCCCCCTTGAGCCTCAGCATCTGCAGCTGTACCCAGTGCTGTGGGGAGGGGACAGAGGGAGGAAGGGGTGGGGTGCTGGCAGGCCTTGTTTTAAGGTTTGGGAAGGGGACTCTCAGGAGAGTACAGTTGCTGGGATGGTGAGTGTGTGCCCACACCCCGAGGCAAGCTGTGCTGTCACAGCTCTGTGATCTTGGCCAGGCAAGAATGGGGAGCCGACCCCAGCTGCCCCCCAGGGGTTTACAGAGCAGCGGGGGGTCCCAGGACCCTCCTGGCCCAAGCCCACTGCAAAGCTAGCAAAGGGAGTGAGGAGGAGAGAGGGAGCTGAGTGGGGGGAGTGGGAGGAGCCATGGGGGCTCCCAGCAGTGAGGGTTCCTCTGTTCTCGAGCAAAGAAGATCTCCAAGGCTCCCCGGGAGGCTCTGATGTAGGGAGGGGAAAGGCCATCTGGAGCTCCGAGCAGGACCTGGGGCCACGCTGGTGGGCCCGGGTCAGTGTCCTCAGAGACTCTCTGGTGGGCTGAGGCTGGCTCTGCAGCATGCCACGTGGGCCAAGCCTCTTGCTTCTGGAAATTTCTCTCATTTTCCTACCTCCCTGTGTCTTCTGCTGGGTCCTCTCCGGGGCTCCCTCCTAGGGCTCCCCCTCCCCTTCGCTCAGCCCCTGGGCGGGCAGCCACCAGAAGCTAAGAAGCCCTGTGGTCACCTCAGTGTGTCCCAGAGATCTGGGGCTGCAGCCCCGCCCACCTGTCCCGCCCAGGCACATGCCCTCCCCAGACACATGCCCTCCCCGCCCTCCCTGCTGCTGCCCTGCGGGCTGCTGTGGCAGCCGGGTGGGCAGGAAGTTAGCCACCTCCGAGGGGTTCTCTGGGGTGGGGGTCCGGGGAGGGTGGGGGTCCGGGGAGGGTGGGCTCGGCAGCCCGCAGCCCCGCATTCTCCAGATGAGTTATGGGAGGGGGTCCTCTGGGGAGCCCCAGGGCCCCGCTGTAGGGGAGGGCAGGCTTCACGCTGCTGCGTGGGGGCTGAGGCGGCAGCTGTGGTGCTGAGTCACGCTCCGGAAAATGAAGGAAACAGAGTTTCCACCACCATCTGCCTCCTTGGGAGGAGGAGGAAGGGGAGGAGATGGGAAGAGGTGGGGTGAGGGAGCGGGGCTCAGAGCAGGGCTGCAGGCACAGGGGTGGGGGCACCCGACAGGCCAGGGTCCAGCCCTGCCCAGAACAAGTGGGGTGAGGGCAGGTGGCTCTTCCCTATCTCTCCTTGGCCCCCAGGGGCCCCAACAAGTCAGGGGAGGGGTGTTGAGTGCTCCGACCCGAGGAACCAGGCACACCAGGGCCTCCCTCCTCCCTGCTCTGCCTCAGGGAATTTAGCAGCTCCGGGGCTCTCAGGAGCTCAGCAGGCTCAGGTGCTAAGTACTGTCGGGGTGTGGCTCACTGTCCCCAGTTCCCAGAGGCAGTGGGAACCTTGACACAAAGCCCTCAGCCAGCCACAGCCTCCTGTCCCCGCCTGACAGACCCAGGGGTGCAGCTCCTCCTCTTGCCTTCACAGGATGGGGTGAGTGCTGGGGATGCCCCTATGTCTGGGCAGCCCCCCTCAGGTGCCCTGCCCTCCCGTCCTCCTGGAAGGACAAGTTTCTCCCATGTCATCTGCAGATGTGGCAACCAACGCCCAAGGCAGGCGGGGCCCCCCAGGCCCCTTGATCTCCCCATGGGTCTCCCCAGAGGCAAAAACGGGAGTGGCATAAGATCTGTAGGTTCAGCTCTGGTAACTGCAGACCCCAGCCTCAGCCCTCTCACCCCTCAGGCGGCCGTGGGGCAGGGGTCCCTCTTCGCTCTTCGCTTCCTAGACGTGTGACTTGCCTCTCTGGGCTTCCCGCTCCTCTACTAGAGTGGGTGGTCCAGACACGGGGAAGCCAGCGGGAATCCTGGCCGGTCTTGGCAGGGGCAGCCCCCAACTGCCATGTGTGGCTCTTTCACAGGACACAGGAGTCGGGAGCCTTGTGGCCACAAGGGCCAGAGACCCGACCTAGTGAGGGCAGAAGAGGGAGGGGAGTTGATGGGCTGATGTCACAGGAGGCAGCCGTCCCCGCCCACCTCAGACTCCACGTGGCCCCGGTTGTGATGCCCCCTCCCCTGGGCTGGGGCCACGGCAACTGCAGGTCCAGGCTCGCTGCTCCTTGTCCTGGGCCCTGGGCGGAGGGGCAATATTGTTTATGAGAAGTCCACCCGTAGGAATAACCCTGGGAACCCTGGGGGTCCCACGCCCACCCTTCAGCAGTCTCTGGGAGGAGGACTGGGGAGAGGGAGATGCTGTGTGTG